AAACGCTTATTAGGTACCAACGGCTAGCGGTGAGTGGTTGACCGAAGAGAGGCCGACAAACGACTAGGCGTTATAACCTCAGAAGATTTCAGGAAGCGAAATTGGTCTAAGTAAAACATTCTGACAAATTATCAAATGATCAGATCGTTCAACTGAAATAACATTTTTCTCTCTTTGGATGAATAGTGGCTTTCTAATACTATCCTTTCAGTAGAGGGTTTAGCGGCTACTAGGCCGCGTTACTTGTGTCCTATAAAAGAAGATCATATCCTTTCCTTGTCGATTCAAATAAAAACATACCAATACGAATTAATTCTTGAGCAAGATTGCGAAATCCAATATCATCTATTGTAGAAAATGGACGAAGATCGTGACAAATCCATTGAGCAGATAAATGTTTTATATTATCAGTTTCTTTATCAGATAATTTCGAGTTTTTCTTGAATCCATGTTGACTAGGTGTACCTTGTGTAAATGATGAAGAATCAATTGAATCAGATGCATTTACAGAAGATGAATTTAGTAAAATTCCAACACATTTATTTGCATGTTACTTTAAACGTGCGGTACCACTGCTACTGTTATAAATAAATGTGTTGAAAAATTTGAAGCAACTAATGAATCCTTTAGTTCGTTGATGTTCACCATTTTCACCTAATTTTGATGGATATCCAAATGCCCTCCACCATTCTGCAGTTAAAGTAGAAGTTTCATTTCTAATAATCGTATATTTTTCTTTATCAGATTGAAGTAAAAATTTAACTGTTTCTGAAGTTAAAGGAGCTTCAGGTGGAAGTAAAACGACGTCAGTATCCATGCTTAATTGAGAGAAATAACAATTTCGACTTTAATGAAAGCGATACTCCAAAGTGAAATAACAAGTTGAGAAAGAACGGCAGTAATGGTCGTTTGTTTAATAGTCTACTGTGTATTTGGTTCTTTTCTTGACTAATATAATAATCAAGGGGGAAACGGCACTTCAGGATCCTAATACTCCCATACTCCCAACGGTACTCCCGTACTCCAAAACTCCGATCGTTTATTGAATTTTTGTAGCTTTATTTATACGAAATAATATCCTCTTCGATGTCTAAGAAAGTTTTGCTCACAAAAGGATGTTTTCCAGACGTCAAACAGAAAGCTGAGGCAGGATCTAATTTATAGATTTGACCTTAACTAATGTCTGGAGGATCCTGCGGCAACAACCCTTCATTAGTCATGTTCCAATAGGACTTATAACACTGTTTAGCCACTGAATTTGCTTCAGAACGTGTAAGATCGATTATAGTGCTGAATTCAAATTGAAGTATGGAAATTTAACGGCGGAGTATAGGAATATCATTTGGAGTACCGGAGTACATCGGGAATCTCGGAGTACACTTGAAGTATGGGAGTACGGAAGTATAAATTTGTCAATATGGCTTATTTTGGATGAAATTCAAATATTTCAGTCGGTATTCCCGTTCTCCGTGATGTAATCCTGTACTCCATGTGATACTCCCATACTCCCGTACATACTCCACATCGGCCTTCGGTATATTTTATTTACTCTGAATAGTTTAGACTGTACTCCGAAACTTTCAGAGTTTTAGAACTTCTGTTACAAATTTGGAGTTTGCTGTTTCCCCCTTGCTTACAAGACTCATGATGTATTGTTTGTGTAATAAAGACTTGAGAAAAATGTGGAGGTGAAGTTGCAAATGTACCATCCATATGTAGTCGTTCACTGTTAAATAATAAATTAAGTTGTATATCAGATGACCAAATTAAAATTCTTCCTGATATTCGTATATCTTCTGATGAATCAAATTGAAAATGTGGATTTGTACTATCATGCAATAATAAACGATTACGATCAATATAATCTCTTGTATATTTATCTGGTATGACAAAAGATGATGAATTTGGTATCAAAGGAAGATTTTTTTGTCGAATATGACTTCAACCACGGGCTAGAAAGAAGAATACAGAACATTAAGCACATTTATCACCCATATATGGCTTTATACTGTACCAAGTTCGAAAATATTTGGTAAATTAGCCAGTGCATCACCTGTTAATAAGGCATTTCGAACTTCTTGTTCGGCAATGTGTTGTAATGGTGTTAATTCTGTTTCAGCTCTTTGTCGCATTTTTTCTTTAAGATCACGTGTTTCTTATGCAGCAGGATTCGGAAGATGTTTATAATCAACATTTTTTCCAGAATAAAGTATAAATTCACCATTGAGATTTGTATGTAAAAGAACACCACAATCTCTCTTTGCGCAACGCCAAAATTTAATCGTTTTATTTTTATTAAAATCTTTCAAACGATAATAATATCCTTTAATGTATAGTATTGGCTTACGTTTATTCGATCTTGTTTTCTCGACAGACGGTTTAGGTGATGACGAAGATGATGATGATATTGCTTTCGAAATTGGTGATGACGAAGATGATGTTGTAAATGATGATGATGGTGAAAATGACGATGAAGATGATGTTGATGAAGAAAATGATGATGATGTGGATAGTAAAAATGATGATGGAAGTGATGAAGCTGATGTTGATGAAAATGTGGATGATGAAGATAATGATGTTTGATCACTAATTATCGAATTAATGGGCGCCATTTAAGAAACTGTAACGCGTCGATTCGTCCACTTGATATTGATATATTCAATTATTTTATATTAACTTTTTTCGTTCTTCATTTCTTTATTCTGCTCTCAATCTTTCCTCCATGAAATTGATATAAACTACCAACATCCTCTTATTATAGCGTCATCTACATCTTGATCCAATTTCATTTTAACATTAGATTTTATTTAAAGTAAAGGACATTTTTTATATGCGCGATTTTTCTTCAAAGGACATTTTCGGAAAGACATTTCACCTAAAAGACATTTTTCAAAGGTCAAAGTTTTGGAGGACATTTTCTGAAAGACGTTTTACAAAGGACATCCCATCACGTATTCCTAAGATTTTCTCTAAATACAGCAAACTAATCTAAACGGTCAAAATCGACGTGATAATGCTGTAGTTACGAAATTTATTACCTGATTTCTGAGCATCTGTTTGGTGAAAAGTCCGTTTGCGGAATGGGAGCGCCTTTAGCAGAAAACATGTGTAAAGCTAAAGATCAGGTTTTATACTTAAAATAATGTTTTCTATAAGATAACATATGTCCCACAGGAAAATGAGTACCTGATTGAGCAGCCCTCTGTAGCGCTCAATCGTGACTCTTGTGTAGTGACTTCCAAGCAATTGTACCGATATTCTAAATAGTAAATACTTTCTCGTCAATGAATAACCAGTTTTTTAATGTTACTATTCAGGTATTTCTGCGCAAATGACAGGTTTGATTGTTGTTGTGTTGACATAAGTGTTTTTTGATTCCTTGATGATCGGACAGTACGCCAATGCACAATGGTATGTTCGAACAGCACGAACACTAACACGCTTATGTATGTCTTGTATCATATCATTTACAAGAACAATGACAGTAGGTGCTTGTTTTCTTTTAATCAATTCATCAAGTATTTTTCAATTCTTCATCGTAAAACGATGAAGGACAATCAGTCAACTTGCCATCACTGACCTCTCGTGTTTGGTTGTAATGAAATAAGATCTAACAAATTGTTGTTGATGTATATTTATGTTGTGGTGTAATTGTTTTTAGTTTCTTTCTTATTTCATTGTTATTTGACGATGTTCAACATTGCTAAAGTGGATCATTCTTTATTACTACTGTTTGAAACTGAAAATACATTGAACAAGACGGGAAATCAACCATCTATATATACAGTTGTACAGTGTATAAGACGCGTATTGCAGTGATGTACTTCTGGTTCTTAGACATTATATTATGAGTGTCCAATACGGCTTACTCTCTTTAATTTTATTTTGACTCGAAGAAATAGCAATCCTACTTCTTCTACTGAATGGATCAGTCATATATCATTTAAGAGACCTCTTATCTTTCTATCAGATTATATATTAATTTGCTATCTAAGAATCATCATAGCTGTGTAATAACTTCCGACATCTGTACAAATACTTTTCTTGACGGTGTGGGTGTGGGAAGTGGGTTAGGGTGACGGTTATGATATGACTATCTCTTCCGTATCTACACCCTCAATATGAGATTAGAAGCAATCGGGATATTAAGTAAGGTCGCTTGAATCGAGGAAACCGTAACGTTATATATTTTAACTGATAATGTTGCCTGAGTGGAAAAACTAAATATCAAAAGAAAGAAGCAATAGAGAATCTGGAAAATTATGTATCATTCACCATGATATACATCATTCGGTAATACTCAACATCAGACTTGGAACCGGTCTGACTTTTTCGGACCGGACCGGCCGGTCTAAATTCTCATCAGACCGCCAAAAACTGGTAAAAACTGGCCGGTCAGAACTCATAACTTTACCAGCGTTCGACCGGCACACTTTTAGCTGACGAATTTTACAGGTCTCATTTTTTTAACGAAAAAATATTGACGGTGGAAGCCTCATATTTTAACGAAAATCGAAAACTTACGAGTTGGAAACATAAAGACTAGTATTTCTCATAATTAACATCATGAAAACGGTTAAAAATTAGAAGAATAAGTCATTTTTAGGGATTTTAGCAGTTTTCCAAATGGTAAAAAGATCGGTAAAAAACCGGTGAAGACCGGTCGGTTTGAAAAGTCAGACCGGATCTGACCGGACCGAACTAGACCGGTCTGCCGGTCCGGTTCCAAGTCTGCTCAATATAGATAATTAATAATTGACCTACTCTTTTCCTTAATAATTGATACTATTGTAATTAGACAACTAGCTGACGGCAAAACTAAAATATTACTCAAAATATAATTAAGTGCTTGTCGAAGTTAATGGTGAATGAATAATGAACAACTAGACGATAACTTGCAAAGAGCTAAACGCCATCATATAATTCACTTGATAAAGGTGTGGGTGTAACTAGAGAGAACATATCCGCCCACAACTTCAGGATTTTCACTAAACGTTTGAATTGATGTATATTCAATTATATTATTTCCATTACACGCTCTCACCGACACCTTCTAGATATTTCATTGTATCGTTTTATACAAACAAGTTTTTCCAATTTTATTGACTGCCAAAAATATTAGAAGTTGAATTTTACAGACACTTTATTCTTTAATATTTAAATATGAAAAATATTAGTTTTGTTAACGTTTTCTAAAGTGTTCATTGTGTGTTATAAAAAAACTTAATTGATCCATGTTGAAAAGTAGTTCTATTGTTATCATATATGATAATATTTAAGTGCGGTATAAGGAGACTGTTAATAGTTGACCATTCACTTGATATTGATTAGCATGTTCGATGACATAGGTTGCTTGTTGCTTGTCGTCAAAGGCAATATAAGCGTATCTATATAAAACATAACAAAAGATTAGATAGTTACAAACGGGCATGATCTTTGTTACAGAGGAATAGAACGTACTAAATCAAGATATTACGATAGTCAGAATCCTGAAAGAACTTCTGCTTATGACTCTATCTTTTAAAATTATAGTTATCTCATGAACTTATTGATCTATGTTCAGATATTTACTGAAGAAATTAAACGATGAAATTCTGATAGACAATCCTCAACATATCTTAAGAGTTTAAGCAACATTGTATAGAGAATCTAATATACAACAGGAAGATCATGCAATTTGTCTACAACTTTCAGAATACCGATAAAGAATATTAGATCCATCTTGAAACGAGGTTACTAATCAAAACTTCATCTTTTAATTTCTGCAATAAATACCAGGCAATCGGTTGTTAAATTAGTGAGATAATAATGTCTTTTAAAATTAGAACTATGAAGAGAAATTTTGTCTGGGCATCTAACTATCTCCATATCTTTGATTGAACACGATATAAAGAAGTCAAAACGAAAAATGGTACTTCAAGAGTTGTATCTTATCAGAGCTTGATTTTGAAAGAAATTCGCACGAGATACTAGAACTCACAAATATAGATAAATGAAGCGTTCGACCAACGAAAATATCTGTTAGAAAAAAATAAAATCGCGAGTTCAACAGTTGTCCTCCAAAAATGAATGGGTCTCAGTAGAATCGAGAAGAAACATATGAAAAATGAATTAGAACATAGAAAAAATCGAATGAAACAGGGCATAGCAAGATTTCTTTGAAAGATGGAGCAAAAAGTTAGTAAAAAATCAATGAAAAAAAAAGGAAAAAATTTGATTCGGACTACTATTCCTTTATGCCACTAATATTCAATTTGTTTCTAGTCGAGCTACTGTAGTTCATACATTTAGATTTGCATAATTTCAGACTCTTTTCAATAGTTAAGATCAATGACGATCTATCAGGGAGTAAAGTAAAACTATACTGCTTCTTGGTTCTTACCCCAATAAAATATCTTTATCGTTTGTTGTTTTTGTGGTTATCAATGCTCTAGTGGAGACAACAACCGCTGGATAATACTTTACTATTCGACAATTTGGAAACAAATAGCGTAGATCATCGTCGCTGATGTTTGGAGGGATTCGTTCAACCACTATTGTTGTGCAATCATAGCTTTGATTTCTAATGCGGATAGACACATTATCATCAGCATATTCAATGCGGCATTGTGGACCAAGAAGATGGAAATTAATGGGGCGTCGACGATTTATTTCAGCTGTTTGTGCTGTAATATGAGTAATAAGAGCATATCTATTGAAAAGATATTCATTTAATTATCGATCAGAAAAAAACGTCTATACCATACTTCAGATGTGATGAGTTACGATATCGTTTTATTATCACGTTTGAACATCCTGGAAAATGCCCACGTAAATCTTCTTTATGCACACTCTTTTTTAACCCAGAAACAAATAGTGTTTTATGATCATTTTTAGTTGGATCAGATATTCCATTTGTCGTCGTATGACATTGTTCATTAACAGTTGTTGCATATGTATCAAATGAATATGTTAACGAAGAGATCTAAATAAACTTGTAGATTAGTTTAAATGATATATAACCCATGTATAACTTTCAGTAAATGTCAAATAAATCTACTGAATAAAATAAGATGTATGATAATGTATACTACTCTCTTCTATTCGACCGGTGTAATGTCTCAAAACACCCAAATAACTAGTAAAAAGAGATTCATTACAAAGAAGTAGAGTAATTTTCCCTAATTACAACACTAAATTTTTAGCTGATCTTAAATAATCATGCTCTCCACTATTACATGCCCAATTCGAAATATTCCCGCATCACTTTGGTCCTTGGATCCTCTCCTTTCAAATGACGTGCGATTGACCCTGATCCGAAATCTAATAGTGGGGAAATCAACGGTATAAAATCAATGACTACGTCTGTTGTTCCTAGGATCTATTTCCGCAATAACAACGCTCCAGCGAATTTTTGACCCTAATAACAACATCAGCTGATTATTGTTTTCATTATGGTCAAAAAGTTGCTGGAGTGTTGTTATTAGGATCAAAAATTAGCTGGGTGTTGAAATTAAGGTCAATATTTTTCTAACGATGATTTTGGACTTTTCGTGGAATTTTTT